TTTTTTTTTTGTTGTGTGTGTGTGTGTGTGTGTGTGTGTGTGTGGTTACCATTTCCAATTTATGTGTGCTGCTGGCCAAGCGCAGGGATTGAGGCTCATTGAGCTAATTAGTAATTACTAATTACCCTTCTTTGTACTGTTCCAATTCTATCGTATGTCCCCGAAAGATTCGAACCAGTGATTATTGACCGGTAGATTTTATGGGTATCTGACTGTCTTAAAAATAATAATAATAATAATAAATAAATAAAAAAAAAAGATTGGAAGAAGTCGATAGCACTGGATAACAGGATGAACTTGCAAGAGCATTGTGAGTGACTCACTTGCCCTCGTTTTTTTTGGTTTGTGTGTGTGTGTACGTGTGTGTGTGTGTGTGTGTGTGTGTGTGTGTGTGTGTGTGTGTGTGTGCCTGTTTTCCTGCTTTGTGTTTCAGGTCACATCTGTGTCGTTCAGCCCATGCGGTGTATATTTCCAGGCGTCGTGCAGCGCAAACTTCTCTCTTGTATTCGACATGCGAATGATGCCGTTGGATCCTGATCCCCAGTGGAACCGCCTCCGCCATGCGATGATTCCAGCCACCCATGCACATCACAGCCTCAGACCCCTGCATTGCTTAAGCCATGGCAAGCCCATGCCCACCGTTCAGAATGCCGGGCAGATGCCAGGGTATGTGTGGTACGACTGTTGCCCAAAGACCAGACTGTGCATTGACGAGAGCCTGAATTGTTGTGTCTTGTATTGTTCAGTCGGTAGATGCACGAACTGTTGAAATACAGACGCCGGTGGGCGGTCAGGTCAATAATGGTATCTGAAGGCCGTCGCCAAAAAAAGAAAAAAAAAAATAGACTGCTGTGTATTACTATGCCTGCTGTTCAGACTGCTATGTCATGGACACGAAGTCTGAGTCAGACTGATTCTTTTTTTTTTTTTTTTTTTTTTAACCACTACAACCTTTCGCAGCTGTAGTCCCATGTGGGAAAGATGACCTGATCCGAAAAAATCGCCGGCGGGCGGCCGCTGACAGTTTTGAATTTTTCATCGGCAGCTACTGGCCTTTGAAACGAGTGGGACCACCACCTCGCAACTGACTTATGAGAAAGGTGGTGGCGGGGTTTAACCAAGAAATTAGTAAAAATAATAAAAAATTTACCATTCATGCATGTCGGTAATTTCTAATTACGAATTAGATGATGAAGTCATGACGAGGCATTTGCCCCGGACTAGATGTTCCGCATTTGCACAGGATCCGGGGTATGTACATCGACAGTGCTGCTTTTGTGTAGGCCTGTAGCCACTTCGTGATGTATCGGCCCTGCATTGTATGTGCCCAGGCGCGACTGCCAAGGCCTGGGCCAACTGTACGACGCAGCTTAGGGAGGCTCACGCGTCCACTCAACCAACTGGCGGGCTGCAACAGCCTGAGTACCCACATATGGAAATGTCGAGTTTTGGCCTCTGGTGAATATTCAGGCCCGCCTTCACTTAGGGCGGGCACTCGGCTTGCTGGGGGTCTCTGCCCAGAATATGCACGTCTGATAGGGGTCCCGTGAGGGCTAGTTCCTCGCACATGGCATGTCCAGCCGAATTAACTGTCCGGACTATCCAGACAGAACATCAGGGGGTAAAAAGGGTTATCCTGCATTTCTCGGATAAATCCCGGATAATAAAAAAAATACTTTTTTTTTTTTTTAATCTCCAGATCTGATAGGAATTTTGAACTGCCGTCCAGCCAAAAGTTGTTGGTCCCCCCCCCAGTTAATCCGGTTTCATCCGGGTAGTATTGTCCGGCCTGCAATTCCGGATACATAAAAGGGTGTCCCCGGATATCCGGATTTGCTACTTAGATTTTTTATTTTTATTTTTATCTTTAACGTTTGTTTCGCAAAGTTGCGCTTTTTTAGTTCATAGTTATGTGCTCAGTTGCAGTACAATTCCTATTGGATGAGAGTTATGTTCATCCTTCAAGACAGCTTTTTATTTGTCACGACATCGCAAATGTCCCCTTCTTGTTTATCCCATCAAATCGATGACGACGATAACTCTATCAAACTTTCTCCATTGGGGTTGCAATTGCATGTTTTTTAATTTTTCAGGGTTCTTTTGAAAAATTTTCAACTTTTTTTCCCCTTTTTTTTTTCGAAACCTTTTTTTCCCTTCCCTGTCTGAACAGTTTCTGCTTCTGTTGGACCTGTCCTTTTTTTTTTTTTAATTACCTGTTTCGCGTTTTTCTTTGTTGAGAATCGTTCTTACGTTTCTGCTTTTTTTTTTTTTTTTTTTTAATTACCTGTTTCGCAGCTTTGTCGACATTGGCGATCAAGGTGTGAACGATGCACGTTGGTTTCATCACAGTTCACGTCTCATTACTGCAAGCGGCAATGGAAGGTCATAGCCGGCACTAGACCCCATTCGTTGATTTGTCAACTTTGTCTATTTTACTTGCGCCATAAGTTTTTGCATCCTCGATTTATTGAATTTTATTCTCATCAGAGCTAACTTTGTTAAAGTCTGTTTTGTCTCATCTGGGTTGTGACGTAGGTGGTAATTTTTTTGTGCATCCGGGCACGAATTTTGTCGCCGGACACACGTCTGCCCGCCTGGCAGGGCAGGACCCCCGACCGGGTCCCGTGCAGCCCCAGCACAAAAAAAAAAGAAAAAGAAAAAGAAAAATCCTGGAAAACAATATGCTGTGAAGAATTGCAATGCAAGCAACTTTCGATCGAAGGTCATTTCAGAATCACCTAAAAATTTCTTATTGAATGGATGAGAGAAAACTTTCAAAAAGAAAATAAAAAATCAAACTAAGGCACACTCCTTTAAACCCCATTTAAGACAAACAGCCACTGAAAACAAAGAAGAGTCGGGATTTGACTGCTTGCGGTGGGCGCCTGCCACCCATCCGGCGGGGGCAAAAAAAAAAAAAAAAAAAAAAAAAATCCTGGAGTTCTTACATGCCCGGGATGCTGCGGGTGGGCAGACAGCTGGGGCGACCTGCAGCCGGTGCCTGGCAAGGTGTCCTGATAACCCGTTTGATTGCAACCCATTTTTCAGTTAGGGCCCATTCATTTCTTTCTAGTTTAACGAGCCCTTAAACCGCTACCGTAGTACCTCCGAGCCTGTTTTTGCCAACCCTGAATTTCACTGCGCACCGAAAGTTGCCGAGCCTGGGTCCCATTGTGTTTTCTTTTATGCTTCTCTTCGGAAATCGGAAAAAAAAAAAGAACAACAAAAGAAAAGTAAAAAAATCAACTACGATAGGGCTGTGAAAGCAGCCGGATGCAGACTCTGGGGTACATGTGAGAGTATGCACCTTCAACGGGGCGTTACAGCTCTGCTGAAATCACGGCAGCAGGAACAAACAAAAGAAAAAGAGCAAAAATTCAGCAACAACTCTTTGGACGTGAAAGCAGCTAGATACAGAATCTGGAGTACCTGTGACAGTATGCCCTCCCAACGGCCATTGCAGCCCTGCTATAATCACGACATCAGAAAAAAAAGAAAGAAAAAGAAAATAAAAAGACAACAACACTTTGGACGTGAAAGCAGCTGGATACAGAATCTCGAGTACGAGTGAGAAGGTGCCCCCCATTGCAAAGTGTCAGCTGCCCGTGGAACGCGCCTTGCCTCTCGTTGGAAGGGCACTAAATGTGGATCACCAAAAAAAGAAAGCAAAACACATACAAAAAACCGAAACTGGCTATGTTTCTGGGTAGATGCGTTCCTTTGAGTCCTGATGTGTGCACATCTCCTTCATGGCCTTCCCCGACGTCCTTCCTTTCTTTCTTTTCTTCTCTTTTTTCTTTTTTTTGGTAATGGGAAATACAACTGATGCCGAGCCTGTGGTACCTCCAGAGTCCGAACTCTTCGGGGAAAATGGGGAAACGTCCACTTTCCCCTAATTTCCCAACACTGGCGGAGGTACTAGTGGTTAAGAGGTGCAAAGAACTTGCATATGCCAGTTAGAACGAAACGAAACGAAATCATTAAGCCATGAGTAACTTTGGCGAACATTTTTCCAAGCCTGGAAATGCCCTGCGAGCAAAAATCAATCAAACTGGCGTGGGCCTCCATTTGGCTGGCGCTGCCAGCCCCTTGGCTCCAGTAGGCCAACCTTTGAAACTTGTCGTGCTTTAACGGCTACTCTGGCAAACATGACTGGGAAAAAGTACTTGTGGTATAAAGTTATAAACATGCCAGTTAGTGGTGGTACAACTTACCGGCATCTCACGAGACTCACGTCAGAACGAGTCACACGCTTGCTTGAGCAGAAAGAGAGCGGGAACTCAAAGCACGCGCTATGAGAATTCACAAGTGCGCGGAAATCAAGCTATTATAGAAGACAAGTTTATGTCCACAAAGCTGCGCTCCTATGGATGCCAGTAAACGACTATAAATTCTATAATAAAACAAGTTTATGTCCACGACTCACTATAATACACACAGGCACACAAGGCAGGCCGACGACAAACAACCAGCAGTCGACGAAGCCGAGGGGCAGAGAGGCACTGAGCTGTTGGATGACAAGGCACATCGGGCACACGGGGAAAGCAAAAGGATATAAGGCAACACAAAGGTTAGAGGGCACGGGGGAGGCGCGAGGGCAGACAACACAAGCACAAAAGGCAGGGAAACTACAACAACCAGCCCTCAAGGCAAGCACCAAACCCAAGAAAACTGAAAAAAACAAAAACTGATGATGACAAGATTGACTCATCAGGAGGCTGAACTGTCGACAATCTGCGGAATCTCCGTATTTGATGGTTCGGGTCATGAACCCTTTGACCCTTGTTGAAGGCAGACTGTCCCCAAGTGGAACATAGCAGCGGGCAGCAACCCTGTGGAGCACCAGGCAACACAGTGGAGGCAACACGGCTGCACAACGCCAAAAACGACTGCAAGGAACGACATGGCACGCAGGACATGCAGCGCGGCAACCGTGTAGTGAAGCACAAGGCAACACAACCAAGGCAGCCACATTGGAAGGGACGACAGGGCGAACGGACCAGCAACTCGGCAACCGTGGAGCGAAGCACAAGGCACCCGCAACAAGGCAACCATCCAACAAGGCCCGCAAGCAGCAAACATGGAAGGCACGGCCAGCGGAAGGGCAGCAAGGCAGCGGAGCAGCAAAGCGCAAGGCAACACCAACAACATGGCCACACCACACAGCGAACACATCAACCTGCAAAGAACCACATGCGAAGCAAGCGGGACAGGCAGCAGGGCAGCGGCGGAGCGCAGACGAGGGCATCCGCACATCCAACACGGAGCAAAGCAGCGCATGACCTACTCACATCACGATTGAACCCCGCAGACTGTTGGTTCCCACCACCCACTGAGCCAGGGAGTCACTCCAACGAGCATCCGTCATCACCCACAGGCAACACAGACATCCCGAACTGAGCAGCTCCCACAAGAGTGCAGTAGGCACTCCAAACGAGGAACCACCGACTGTTTGGCACTACTTAAGGGTGCTCAGTTGGGTACGTAAAAATACTCAGAAAAAGATCAGAGGGAGGACAGACAACAAGAGGAAAACAGACAAACATAAAACTGATTTTGTGTGTGTGTGTGTGTGTGTGTGTGTGTGCATTTTGTGTGTGTTTGTGCATTTTTCAAAAAATTTAATAAATTTGTTTTCACTACTCTGTATGCAACTGTAGACATTTTATACATGCATTCAGTAAAATTTTAATAAATTTGTTTGCACTATTGTGTGTGTTTGTGCATTTTTCAAAAGTTTTAATAACTTTGCTTGCACTACTGTGTGTGTTTCTTTTTGCTTCACATCCCGTCCTATACTGTACTGTCATGCTGACCTGTGCTATGATGATGTGTGCTGTGATGAACTGTGTTGTGGCTTTGTATTTCTCATCGCCAGTGTGGCCATCTGGGATGTCTCCTTGGGGGAACCCTGTGTGAAGACCTTGGCAAGCCATTCTCGATCTGCAAATGCGGTAAGTTCCACCTTCCATGCATGTGCCACACTTGCACCCCACTTGTGAGCACCCAGTTTCCAGTCATTGTCGGGGGTGGGGGGGGGGGGGGGGGGGGAGGTGGAGGCATAATTGTTAGAACTTAGAAGATAATAAATATGCACAGCGCTCGCTAGGATTGGATTGAAAATTGTGGATGGAGCCACCAGTCTTTTGTTTCGAACCTCCGAAAGAATTTTTTTTTGTTTTCGAGTTGTTTTTTTTGGTTTGCCGAACACATTTTCCAAGATTCGTGTATTTGTACGCCTACAGATAGCAGTTTTGGAGTAGTCTACTTCTCACTGCATTCTATCTTTAGCCACTAACCCCCCGGTACCATTCCATCTCAACCAAAGGTAAGGGAGAGGGCTCAGGGCGGGAAAAATTCAGCAAAGTCTGAGAGGGGCTTATCTTTGTCCAATCCCGAAAGCATAGGTGGCCTTTCCCCTTCCTCTACGTCTTCCTCCCCCTTCTCTCCTCCCTTCCATGTTACCTTAGCAATCCAACCCGGCGGCCTAGCCAGTCTTTACAGAACCTCTCAATGTGTTGTCTAATTTCCTGTATATCTCACAATGCAAAACTTAAAAAAGAGTCGCTGGGCAGGAGATGTCTTCGTCCGGTGGCTCACGGGCCAGGACGTCCCCTGCCCAGTGTTACATGCTGCGCCTGCAACAGGCTGCACGGGCCATTTTCAGGCCCGTGTCGTTTTCAGCCCGAAAGCCTGAAAACAAGAGCCTACAGGCCCTGTGTCGTTTCAGCCTGAAAGCCTGAAAACAAGGGCCTACAGGCCCTGTGTCGTTTCAGCCTAAAACAGGGCCTTTCCGGCCCAGAGTCTTTTCAGCCTGAAACGGAGGGCCATTTTCAGGCCCTCATAAGATCGACCTGCCCTGAAACTCAGGCACCAGGCCAGGGTTTTAGCTCAGGCCATTTTTGGCCTATTTTCAAGACAAGCTTTGTTTGAGCTCAACCCCAGGGTCTGGCACGTTTTGGCATTGGCAAGAGAAGCCTCCTGGACGGGCCAGCACTATATAAGACTGGCCCGCCCTGCAGGCTGCAGGTAGTTCCTAGGTACTTCCCAGCCACTTCACGTGCAGTTCAGGAGGCAGGAGGTAGTCTTCAGGATTCGGCAACAGCACTCTGGAGGAGCCCTGCAGGAGTCGTAATAGCGCTAGCAGTAGTCTTCACTGCTGGGCGCTAGTAGCGTTAGCAGTAGTCTTCAGCGCTGGGCGCTATTAGGAGCTAGAGTAGCACTGGAGAGAGAGAGAGAGATTGGGCAGAGGCCAGGGATGTACCTGCAGCACGACGCCATCTTCACAGGTTAGTACCTGGCACATGAGAGAGAGAGAGTTCTTCTTCTTCCTCTTCTCAGTCCACCATCTCCCTCTCACCCTCTCACTACCTGACTTCACTGCATCAGCAGACTATGAGAGAGTGGGTTTGGTGACGTTTGGATCCAGACTCGACATTGGGCTTCAGACATTTGACGAGGGATTATCTGGGACTTGTAACGAAGACTTGGTGTTGACGACATTCCCATCTTCCCCCTTCTTCTTCGTCTGCTCCCCTCCTCTTCGTCTGTGTATGGACTGGACCTGGCGCATTCTTCCTGTGTGTAGCGCCAGACCCCTTCACACCTTGTGATGAGGATGATGTATGTTTGGTCTGTACTGCAACATTGATTGGGCTAGTCATTGGTATTCTAGCATTCTGCTGCGCTGTCTTGCACTACGTGAGAGAGGTCAGTCCCGGTCAGGTCAGGACTTGTATCTAAGTCTTCCACTGCCCTATAAAGCACCATTTTCGTATGTATCAGGATGTACACTGCTTGTTGAGATTTCGCTTGCACTGCATTGTCCATTCAGTCCTTTTCATCACATTGCGGATCCTCGGTTATTTATGTACATCGCCCAACTGGGCATGTAACACCAGCTAGCTCGCCGGCTGGACTCCAGTGGCACAAAGGAAGAGAACCGCTCTGATACCTTGGCATACAGATGAATGATGCTGGCCCCTCACACTCACAGGCAAGCCGCTATCATGGACACAATGCTAAAAGAACTGGACTTGTGGTCACCTGCTTACACATCGGTCTTTGTATGCCTTGGCAGATAGCAATCGCTCCAGACGATCTGATTTTTGCAAGTGGCGGTGACGACCAGAAAGTGGTAACGTCCTCTCTCTCTCCTGTCTCTTATACACATCTAGATGTGTATAAGAGACAGCTCTCTCTCTCTCGTCTGGCATTGTGACTGGTTTTAATCATTGAATCTGGTTTGCTTCTCTAATTATGATCTGAGATCGTTTGACGATGACCATGTTTGTGCTTTCGTGGGCCGTGTTGTGGTGTTAACAGGTAATGTATCAGGATTTTAAGAGCCCGAAGAGAGCACCTTGGCGATTGTCTCTACCTGTACTCCAACCACAATCTCGTGGTCTCATGCTCGATCCATAATTTTTTTAATTAATTTGTACATTTTTTTACTTACCAGGCAACTTCTGGGTGTTTATCGCCGCCCCCCCCCCACCCACCCACCCACCCACACACACACACACATCCCTTCGGCTATTGCATGCAGAACTGCAGGAAAATTGAGGAAATGCATATAGTGTGCAGCTCAGTCTGGACCAGGTCCAGATGTCAGTGTGGACCAGGTCCAGATGTCAGTGTGGACCAGGACCAGGTCCAGATGGCACATACCGCAGAGGAAATAGATTTGTGTGTATGGTGTGAGGGATAAGCACCTGGGTTCCATCATTAGGAAATATTGGAATTCCGATGGAAATACGACCATTCACTTTGTGGGTTTCCCAGTTATGCCCTAAAGAAACAGAGGAAGAAATGAGGATTCATGTGATTGCTCGTCATTTCCTGCTGGAGTTTGCACCCTCCTGCAATCAATGTGGAATGCAATGCTGCCACGACAAACGCAGTCTCGTCCGACCACTCGCCAAATGTGAACATGGCAAGTTGTTATCCTGTGTCGGCTGCGGACATGCCTAATAATCTGTAGACAATGAAGATTATGAACGGGCGCAGGACAATCCATCAGATTATGCAGATGATGGAGACGATTACCGGCAAGTGGTTTCTGATGACAACAAGGTGGGTGCAATAGAAAACACGCATCCACGGTCAAGCTGTGCCTATACAGAAGCTGATGAGAGTGTGATGCAGTGGCCAGACATGGCAAAACACCCTCCCCCTACTCCGGAAATCTCGTGCTTTCTGTTTTTCTTTTTTCTATTTCAGAAGGTTTTACCTCGTGTCATACTGCAGTGTAGTTTGAGACTAGCTCGGAGTTGGTGTGGCATGCCATGGGAAAATGTGTGGCCACACACACACACACACACACACACACACAGAGAGAGAGAGAGAGAGAGAGAGAGAGAGAGAGAGAGAGAGA